TTTTTTTTTTTTTTTTTTTTTGCATTTTCAATATTTACTGGTTGTTCGCTAAAATTTTTTTGAGTGGATAGTGTTTTGGCGGCACAAGCAATGATTCTTTGTTTTCATCAGTTTAATTTTTTTTACGTATTCAGAAAAGTTATTATTGTTAAGTCAGTAATTTATACATAGTTTTTTATTTACCAATTACTGAAATATTTGGTGCCTTATTGTTTGATGTATAGCAAAACTGTGTGGTTTGTATTTTGCCTCATTTTTGTATGATTTGCTTTTGAGGTTTAACTTTCTGAATGCACTAAGTGATAACTCTAAATTTTTTGGGTCTTAAGTATTTCAATTATTTTTGATTTTTTTCCAAAGAGATTTTAATTCAGGATTTGCTTTATACATCATCTACAAATTTCATTTATTAATCTTTATCGCAAAGATTTAAGGAGGAATAAGGATTTTTTAAATTTATTTATTTATTTTTTGTTTTATTCTGTTCTGTTCGATGGCGAGTGATCAGATTTTTATATGTATTTATATATACTTGTATAACTGCGGGTTTGCATTGTCTCGTTTCGTTTTCTTTTTATTTTTCACCAATTTGAATTTTAGAAGCAAACGATTTAGCATCAGATTGGCAACGGATATTCTTGTATTTCTTCCTGGTCTTTTTTTTCGTTGTCTATTTTTATTTCCTATCTTTTGAAACACAAATATTTTTTACATGCTAAAAACTGCTTCAATTTTCTAAGTGCGGTCAATTCAACAGACGCGTTTAAATTGTGGAATTTAAGGGAAAAAAGGGTTTATGAAGAATCTGTTGTACTACGGTGTTATATCCGGTATGTAGCCATCTTTCATTATATCGTTTTGCCTTTCTTTATTTTTATTGTTTTTTTCAATCTGCTTATTTCACAGTTTTTAATTGGATTTTTTGTTGTGCACAGGTTTTGATATATATTTGATTAGATTGGAGTTCTTCGAAAGATTAGTTTAGATTATTTGAAGTTTTCGCCGCTTCCGACTCTTGTGTAGACGTTGCTTTTGTCTTTTTTTTCGGTTTTTGCAGATGAGGCGTTGCATTGTTTGCTCGTTGTCCTTTATTTTTCCTCTCGGAAGATGCGTTGGTGTATTATATCAAATATTGTTTTTCTTTTTTTTCGAATTGTGCTGATCAAATGTTGTTGAAGAAATATAGTATTACTGTCTAGTCGTAAAGAGCTGAAGGGACGAGAACAGGAAGTAGATTTATATTAAATAGTGTACTTAGAAATGAATCAATTGGCATCAGTATACATATATGTCTCAACTTTTTTTTGCGCTTT